ATTTAGGGGAGGAGGGCGGCTTTCTCCAGGACTTGTCGTGAACCATATATGCAGCGAGGGCTAAAACCTCTCCGAGCATTAGCCACCGCAAGCTGGAGCAGACCCGTCCTTCCCTGGGTTTTGCTTTTGCTCCGGGCTGGGAGCCGCTGCCGTGCCTGCAGCGGACTGGCCATCCGTTTTGTTTGCTGCAATTTGCTGCGCTGCTGCCGAGGGTCCGAGCGTCCGTAAAATGCAGGTCGTCTCGGCAGTACGTGCCTGCCCCGTGGGCGATGCTGCTGGTCGTCAGCTCTGCCTGCCTGGGGGGTAGACCTGGTGTCCTTCCCCCTTTGCAGGTAGGGAGCTGAGGTGCAGGGAAGCAGCGCAATGACTTGGCTGGTGATGGGCAGCGAGGCTGCAACAGGGATTTGAGGCTGGGCTCAGCATCCTAAATTCAGCCCCAGCCGAGGAGGGCAGGGAGCTCTGCAGCTCGCTCTCAGGGTAGCGTGGCGAGCTGTCCCCATATCTGTGCTGCTTCTATGCTTCACTCTATGGAGACACAAATAATTCATGCTTTCTGGGCTCAGGACTTTCTGTCTCTGCATTATTTATTCATCCTTCAAGCTTCCTCCTCTTTTTTTTTTTTTTTTTTTTTTTTTTTTCTTCTGCCGTGGCTCCTGTTGGAAGAAGCCTTGGCAGCGGCGTGTTCCTGGTCTCAATGAGGACAGCCGCGCTCTGAATGCGCGATGCGTCGGGGAGCCCGGAGCTGTGCCTCTCTAGCTGGAGGGGATGAGGACAACTTGGCAGAGCTCTGTGGGACTGGTGCTTCCAGGTCTGACCAGCGCTGGGAAATTCAGAGCTTAGAACAAAGCACTTTCAGGCTGGGACAATGCTTGGAGTGCAGTCCTATGAAAATCTGACGCAGAGAGGGGCTGAAAGCCAGACCAGCCGCTGCCTGGGGACAGCTGGGGCCTTAATTTAGCCATTGAGCATCGAGGAGCTGAGCGCCGGCTGCAGAAAGTGCTGACCTGGGGCAGGGTACGGTTACTTTGCAGGCATTTTGTTTTCATCTCGAGCTTATCTGGTCTCTCCCTGGGGAGCGCTCAGCCGGCGGCCTTTGGGCGTTATCTGGGTTTCGGGCAGTGATAATTCCCTCTGGACCTTGAGCAACACTGCCCTGTGTTGACTGCTCCCCTGCAGCCACGGCCGCGGAGGTTGGCTGGGCTGATGTGGCTCTGTCGCTCTCGTGATGAGAAGCAGAAATGGTGCCTGGTGTTGCTCAGCTGCCGCGGAGGGAAAACATCCACGCCCGGAGCGCTGGCTGAGCGAAGGGCACGCTCGGCGTGCAGCATCGCTGGCTCTCCGGCACGCGGCCTGAGACGAAGGGTAGCGTCAGCTGCTCCGGTTTACCCCTGGGGAGCTGAGGCTGCGTGACGCTGGGGCTTTGCTTTTACCGTGATTTCCAAGTTGTCCCCGGCCTCGGTGGCCCGGCGCTCTCGCTGTTGCAGAGCGCGAGTGTCGGGAGAGCTGGGTGGTGCTCGTCGTCCTCGGGAGCGTGGGGAACTCGGGGTGAGAAAGTTTCGTTTTGATTCGTGTGAGCAATCTGCAGAACTGCTCGTCCTCCCTCCCCTCGCTTTGGCCATATTTGGGGAGGCTTCACCTCCTATTTCTGAGTCCCGACCGGTGGCAGGGGTGCCGCAAACCGCAGCCGCGGGGGAAACCAGCAGCGCTTCGGCGCTGGTCAGCTCGGAGAGC